TGAGTATAATGTGTACAAAGCTGTTTATGCACTGGCATATTCCCTTGATGACATGCTGCGGTGCAAGCCAGGAAGAGGGCCTTTCAGTGGGAACAGCTGTGCCACTTTGCAGTCACTGGAGCCATGGCAGGTGTGATATCATTTTACACTCTGTTTATAAATTCTTTGCTTTAAAATTACTTTCAGGATAGAATTTACCACAGAATTTAACATGTAGGATTAAATACAATATGATAATATTAACTATGAAAAAGCTGGAGTGAGCTCAACAGATTTTCCGCACTCCTCCCAAAAATTAGCAGTTGATATGTTTAGATCAGAGGCATGTATGCATGAATCATTACTAGTAGGGATGCACCGATACCACTTTTTTGGAAACGAGTACTAGTACTTGCATTTCAGTACTCGCCGATACCGATACCGAGTACTTAATAAAAACATGATTTAAATTTACAGGTAACAGCTTTAGTCCTATAATTTAACAAAAAAAAAACAAAAAAAACAAGGGACTGGTTTAAAATTAATAACATTTATTTAAAATGAAAAGCATGTTGTATGCAACATATTACAGAATAAATAATTATGAAAAAAAAATTAAACAGTGACTGTGCAACTCAGGTATTGTTTTCAGTTTAGTGTAAACTCTGCCGCTTTGGACAACACAAGGGGCATTAACAAACATCTTTGCTATTTAGTGCACAATATTTGAATAAACTAACAACATCCACCGACATAGAACTGTGGCAGTCAGTGCAACTGAGGTAGGTATTAACATCAAGTCTAAGATGACTCACTTAATGGAGAGAAAAAGTGAGTGGCAGGGTTTTTTTTTTAAGAAAAGTAGCTTTTCTGCATTATCAGCAGTCAGCCTTTTTCTGTTTTCATCTATAATGTGTGACACTGAGCTAAAAAGCCTTTCACTTTCCACACTGCTACATGGGGCTGAGAGGTATTTACCCCTTTGTTTCTCTGTTTAGAAGTCTCACTAGCACAGTCACAGCTGGGATGACATCAGAGGCTAGTGCGTCGTAGCTGCTCACTTTTTTAGTTAGTTCCTCAAAGGGGGCCATAAGAGCCCATTGGTGAGCGGTGAGATAGTCAGGGAGTTC